CTATATCACAGTTAGAAATTCTGTCAACGCTAAATAATGACATTGCTTTTAAGTATCGAACTGAGAAAGTGACTCGGTAAGAAGAACGTGTGGTGAAATTATATAAACAGTTAATTTACTGTCATAATATATAAAAAGCTCGCGCCTGTGAGATATCAACAAAAACATTAGAAAAATAGCTCACACCAAAGCCTTCACCGAGTATTCACCCGACAACCCGCTTCCAAGTTGTGCGAACCTATTTCACTGCGCACGTGCTATGAGCGCAGCCTAGCTGTTGAAACCCGTTTTCCCCAGAAAAGTCTGGGGAAAATTAGTGAAACGTTTGAACTCCGATTTCGCGCGGTTTGTTTCATCGCGTTATTTTTCAACTTTATAAGTTGAATTTGCATTTTTGACGCTTTGTTTCGGTTAGTCCATACCGAAAGGTATCAGAATCTGCAAAGTTGTGTTTTACGTTGCATGTGACCTTTAACTTGTGTCTTTCGGGTGGGGTTTAGACACAACCTCAGTATGACGCGTGTTTTTCTCTTTTTCTTCTGCCTTCGAAACTCAGAAGGATACCTAATTTTCCTGTCAGAACAACTGCCAATCTAAAAAATAAAGACTTTTCTTGCGCTAGACTATATTTTCACATATATGCTGAATTGTATAATAAAAAAATATACTGAACCACAAAAGAAATGTCGCACCGACAGCGGTTTCTTCAAGCACACACTTTATTAACAATCAAAACGGAGGATTGTGTTCAAACTTGACCATTATGGTTAACACATTTTCGGGAATCACATTTGGAGTTCACACAAACAAAATCACCAAAAATTGTACCATAAAGATACCCCAAGGTCAGTATTGTTTGTGGTTTCCATCGGCATCGATGAAAGCGTTGCATCGCCTGTACATGGATTAGTCGGTTGATGAAGGGCATTGGGTCGATAGGCACTTGGGTCCATACTTTGCGAAATGCCTGATCGAGTCCAGCCGCAGTTGTCGGCCTTGGTTCGAGGTCATTCAGTCTTCTTTGAATCTCGTCCCAAAGTTGTTCTATTGGACTTAAATCCAGACCGAGTGCAGGCTATTGTAGGGTTTGGATGCCATGCTGTCTTAGGAATTCCAATGTTGCTCTGGTTGTGTGGGCACGAGCGTTGTATTCCTGGAAGATGTGATTTCTGAGATGTCCAAAATGTGGTACAACGTGGGTCTTATGACTTGGTCAATATATAGCGAGGAGCGGTCACGTCATTTCCTCATCCTGGACCACGATTCTGGAACACCACGGTGTCAACTAACTGGTTCTGACCGATTGCACCCCACACTTAGATGCTTGGATCACCTCACGAGTCTCTTTCAACGATACACTCATTGGAAAACAGTTCACCACGCCTTCGCCATACTCTCACTCAGCCATCGGCTGTCGAAACACAATATAGGCACAGTTCTCCATTGTCGATAACGCCAATTTCGAAGCGAGTTGCCCACTGCAGTCGGTTTTGGCGGTGATGAGCCGTGAGGACAGGACTACGATATGGTCTGTGACAGCACAGGTTTCTTCCGCGCACACCTCGACGCACTATAACCAAAGGTCTGGCGTGCTGTTTCCGTCGCTCTAGGGAAGCGATCCTGCAGATGGTTGCGCACAATCTGTCGGTTTTGACGTTGTCATGTTACTGAAGGTTGTCCACTGTGTGGACGGTCTTGGTTGCTGTTAGTGACCTGATACCGCTCCTGCAGTCGGCAGATTGTCCTAACATGAACATTAAAATGATTGGCTACCCTCCGTGCAGTCTGGACAACTTGCAATCGTCCCAAGACTTGGTTGCTCTGATCTCTCGTAAGTCGTGGCATGGTGATGTGTCAAAACAAAAATGATTTGAGGCGAGTTGGGGACTCGCTTTCACTGTTAGGGTTGTCACGACATGCACGTGCATTTCCATTTTCACGAACGTCTGCCTTTTTCAGTGCGTTTGGTCGATATACTTTTTCAGCAGAAAAGACACTGATGATCATGGTAATAGCTGTCAATCTGGATTGAAAAACATGTCAACAAAACGGTGCAATCATAATAAAAACACCACCTTGTAAGAACAAAATTTTGCATTTGGTTTTGAAAGGCGACGTTTCTTTTGTGGTTCAGTATATTACAGAAAAAACAACTGACGGCAGATTGCTTTTTCAAATCTCTTAAAAGCACAGTTGACATCGCTTTGTTGGTTCTTTAAAGGATATTTCATTGGCTGGTATATTTAGAGTCATGTTGTTCTATTTTGGGAGATATGGGACTTCCCAATCCTATACATATTTCTGTGACGTGTACAGACCGCTTCTGGTTTGAACATATGTGACACAATTACTATACATGGTATATATTACTGTGACATTTGTACAGACAGTCGCTGTTTTGAGCATATGTGACATACATTTACACATACTTATCACATATGTAGTATATATTACTGTGACTGTACATCTCATACATATGTAGTATATATTACTGTGACGTGTACTTACCGCTACAAACTGCTGAAGACCAATTCTTAACCGGATCTTCATGGGTGAAGAGCAACTCTAACCTGGATCTTTACGGGTGAAGACCAATTCTGACCCAGATCTTCTTTGGTGAAGACCAATTCTAACCCAGATCTTCACGGGTGGCTGGAACTGTGTGTGACCAGATGTTCCCTAATATTGAAGCGAGATGTCAGTGAAACTAAAGCAATATGTAGAATGATGCCTGGCAATGGTACAACCTGTACAAGAGACCTAGCTGTAATCTGAGCAATTAGCCTTTGATCTCTTGCTCAAATCAAGTCATCCCGCGATTTGTTTATAGAAATATTCACAGGTGATAAGGGACAGAGTGTTTTGAAACCAATGAATTATTGATAATAAAACTTTGATTGCAGCATTATTGTCTTCATAAATGATGAACAAATAAATAAATAAAAAAATAAATAAATAAAAAAAACAATTGTCTTGCAATGTTTGATAATTACAGGTATGATTAGAACAAATTGAACAATTCACGTATCTTTAATTCCGTAATTTACACCTACACCAGGGTATGAAACTCCCAAAAATTTCAACCAGACCACAGGGCTGGTCAGATGTAAAACCTGCCAGCCCTGATCAAAACTAACGTGGACACAAAATATCTTCATGTACATGTCTAAATTATACCCCGACCATCGAGCAGTGAATTTGAGAATCTGGCAGAAAATAACCTGTCCCGGGCGGTCAGGCAGGCAGGTATTTTGAACGCTGACTTACATCATGCTTTTAACTACTATTCAGTTAGATTCATTACATCACATTGACTTTGATAAACATGGTATCTCTACAGTCAATGAGCACAGGTCCACACAATAATTCTTGTAACAAACTTGCACCTCTAATGGAGGCTATAAGCTTTCTAACAACAGGCAGATGTTTAGGAGTTACAAAAGTAAGACTGCACATTAATAACTGGAATTGTAAGAAAAAGTATACCAAATAACAGACACACAGAACAGAACAGAATTTTATTTCAGTAACAGGCCTCCGGCCCAAAATACATGTACATAAATTGATGATAAGTAGAGCACATATATATTTCATTTAGATTTGTGTTTCTTGTCAACAAAGTATAAAATAGACATACATCCTTGATAATATTAACATTTTTACTCTGTAATATTGATATAAAATTAATAATTGATGGACATTTACTAAAATATTTTGATATGTACTTATTTCTGATATGAGAATATGCATCACAGATATAAAACACATGCCATTCATCTTCAACAACGAAGATACCATTTAATTTACAAAACAGGCAATGCCTTTCATTATATGCAACATCAGTGTATCTGCCCGTTTCAACTGCTAGTTTAAAATTACAGCACGAAATCGGGCATATATAGTTTTTAAATATTGAGGGATATCATTATTTATCAAGTAGCTCTCAACATTTAACAAAGATTTGAATTGCTTATAGTAAAGACATTTACAGTTACTGTCCAAAGATGATTGCCAAGATTGAAATAAATTATCATGTAGTCTCTGTTTAAATGATTCCATAAATATTTTGTGATCACCAATTTCCTGACTTATCCAAACAAATCCAAAACCAAATTGAAAAAGAATATTTTTAATTCTAGTTGCCCATGAATTTCGTCCTACCCTGTCTAAAGATAATAGCATAAAATAACATTGTTTTGGTAATCTATAGTCAGGCATGTTTAGAAGTCTGCACCAGTATTTCACTGCATTGGTTGTATAAGTAAACTGTAAAGGCACTCTTCCACATTCACCCAAGACCATATTGTTACAGGTGGATTTTCCAAGTTTCAAGACATATTTACAGAATTTAATATGGACAGATTCAATAGTATTACAGTAGGATGGTTTCGGACCCATAACAGAGAATGGGTGATATCATACAATCAAAGATTTTAAATAAATCTGTACAATTAATGCTGCCAAGTTTCCTTTGGAAATGTTTAACAGAGAATATTGCCTTACTAGCTTGTGATGCAAGGCAAGATGTAGCTTTACTCCAGGATAATTTAGGAGTGAACATAATTCCAAGGTACTTGTAAAAGGATACAGTTTCAATAACATTGCCATTATAAAACCAATTTTCATATGAGCAGCAAGGGACCACCATTTCTAAAAACAATAATCTTAGTTTTCTTTAGATTCACGCTCATACCAGTTTGCTCACAAAATTTACCAAGTACATTGATCTTTTTTTGCAGCTGTGCACAGGTGTCAGCTATTGCTGACACATCATCAGCAAACATAAGAGAGCAGAGATTGCTAATAGAAGAAGAAACTGTAATACCTTGACCTCCTTCCAACTCCATAAGACTGCATAGCTTATTTATGAAGATAATAAAAATCTGAGGGCTCAAAACACAGCCTTGGCGAATACCGATTTTACAATAAAAACTATTTGATACACCCTTAGATGTCCTTACTGAAGCTGATAAAGAACTATACATAGAAGTTAACAGCATAAGAAATTTACCTCGTATACCAGCTTCATAAAGTGACTTTAGAAGAACATCATGCCTTAGAGTATCAAAAGCCTTGGCAAAATCTACAAAGAGACAATAAAATCTACCCCTTTTTTTGCTAATATATTTTTGAATTAACGACTGCAATGAAAAAATTTGGTCAATTGTTGAATAATCAGCCCTGAAACCAGACTGTGATTCACTGATAATATCATGAACTTCACACCATCGCTGGAGGCGTCGATTAAGAATTGACATAAACACTTTACAAGTAGAATCTATGAGAGAAATTCCTCTGTAATTATTAGTATCATCTCTACAACCAGACTTATGAACAGGACAAATAATGCTTTTACCCCAACAAGATGGAAATTTACCACTATCAAGAATATGATTAAAAGCTGAGTAAGATATGGTACAATGAGATGACTAGAAGCCTTTAAGAATTCAGCAGCAACACCATCCGGCCCTGCAGATTTATTATTAGCAGAATTAACTATCTGACGACAGACACACAACTGGTCAGAACATGATCTGTGCAGTCCGTAGGATGTTCAAATATCTGTATCACAGAATTCTGTTCTGAAGCCGCGGTTTCATGTGTTCTTCCTGCTGGAGAATTTCAGATGGAGGCCATTTTCTGCTCGGAGAACGACCTCCGGAAAAGGCACTGCAGGTTTATCTGGATCTACCTTGATGTGAAATCTGAAAATAGAAATGTTCCATTACTGTATGTGACTGGATTTCCATGTCAAGGCTTTGTTGAAAGCTCTAGACAAATCCATTCCAGTTCTGTACTGGTACCCATCTATTTGTCAGTTACTGACTAGAAACTGCTGCTTAACTTCATTAAAATGTGTTCATTATATTAGCAGCTTAATGATGACTTATTTAAGTAAAATATTTCAGAAATTCAGACATGCGTTTTCTTATTTGTTTTTGATGGTATTTTACCTTTTTGTAATATTTTGCTTAATTTTGGGCTAGTGAATTATTTTGTGGGCTAGTAACTTTCAGACATAGCTAGCCCGACTGGCAAGAAAAAATTGGAAACTATTTCGCACACTGGCGTCATTGTGATATCCCCATGCTGTAAGTTGGTAGCGCTATCGTGGAGAACACATTTCACATTTGGCTATGTAGTGTGACATTGTGAAGGTCACGGCCAAATGTGCGACCATGACCTTCAGGTACTGCTGTGGATGTCTGTAGGGGTGCCAAACCCTCTAAGCAATCCGCACACCACTTAATTTGTCTTGGCATCACATTTTAGAACACTTCATTACATCAGTGTACACATCATTAAGTTAGACTGGAACTTGCGTCCATCATGCTGAAGGATCAAAGACCTACATTTGGCAGAGTACTACACTGAGTGTATGATAAAACAGGCTCTAGAGTGAGTGAGTGAGTTTAGTTGTATGCCGCACTCAGCAATATTCCAGCTATATGGCGGCGGTCTGTAAATAATCAAGTCTGGACTAGACAATCCAGTGATCAACAGCATGAGCAGCGATCTATGCACTGGCATATGATGACATGTGTCAACCAAGTCAGCGAACCTGACCACCCGATCCCGTTAGTCCCTTTTAAGACAAGCATGGGTTACTGGAGACCTATTCTAACCCGGATGTTCACAGGTAGCCCATACATTCCTGGTATTCCCCGCCATGATATTGCAAAAATTGCTGTGATAATCAAACAACCTTAAAATGAGATTTCCTTCATTTGAAATTGTTTGGCACCAACCTCCGAACAACCTGACACAGCATCACTTTTATTTCATTTGTAGCAAAGTTCTGTCCTATACAGTTCCTGGAAAAACAACAGACACATACATATTACACTACTGTTCAAAACTAACATCCCCTCATGACTGTCTTCAACTGACCTGTACATTGTTCCAAAAACTGATCGTACCTCTATGAGACTTGTAAGTCAATGTTCAACTATGGAACTTAAGACCACCTCCGCCCTGCTATCATTATATCATCTGTCCATTTTTCTTTTTGTCTACTTATTCAGCTGCTTGTTTGCACATGATCCCATCCGAGACTCTTTGATCAAATTTCACATAGGATATTTTAAGAAGGAAAGTAACGTGGTGAATCGAACAATATCCTTACATCAATGCAATCCACCATTCACAATCACAAGAATTAAATATTCCTTAATGTTTTTGAAGTAGTGTTTTTACTTAAAATCGATCAAAATCAGTCAAATGGAATATATCCAAGTCAGGCAGGATAATAGTCAATAATCTTATTTATAGCTAAAATACATGGCATTATCATGAAACGTCCCTCCTATTATCAGAAATTTGAGGGAAGCCCTCAGTCTTTTTCAACTGCCTCCTTTGTTGGGCAGTTAATGGAAGACCCAGGGCTTCTGCAAATGATAATGCCCTCAAAACTAGCATTACCCTTATAATATTTAATTTGACAGCAATGTGGTCACTGGTAATTTTTCTGAGAAATTTGTAACATATCCAAAATATTGTTTCCCTGAATTTATTGAATAAGACATCAACTGCTGATATGTCATTGCAATTTGTGACATGTGTCATATTCGCCTCCTGGTGGATTAGTTCCAGGCCTACTATTTATCATAATGGAGATAGTATACTGGATGGTGGAGTAGTTCAAGGCTGGATGGTGGAGTAGTTCATCTACCTGGGACCAGCCGGATGAGAGTATGTCATACCTGCAGAGAATGGCACAAAACAGTAGGGGTCCCTGCCTGCAGCAGAATCAAGACTGAATCTCTCGGTGTCAAACTCCTGAAATAAATTACAATTGTCATCATGATGATCAAATACCATTCTCAGTATCCCTAAGACTCGTAACCTACACTAACCCTTCGATCCGTTCCCCTGATTGTCCATGTTAAATTACCTGCACTCGATTTTCAGTAACATTTTATCATTCAAACACATGTAAGGAAAAATAATTTGTTTGCTTGTTGTTGAACACTACGTTCAGCAATTCCAAGCTATATGTCGATGGCCTGTAAATAATCAAGTCTGGACCAGAAAATCCAGTGACTGACATCATGAGCATCGATCTACGCAATTGAGATAAGATGTGTGTCAACCAAGTCAGCGAGTCTGATCCCATTAATCCCCTTTTACAACTAGCATTGGTTGCTGAAGACGAATTTTAACCCGAAACTTCAGGGAAAAATTGTTAAGGGAGATAACTCTACCGCTTGGAAACCAAAGTCACTACCAGTTTGAAGGGACACAATATTTTAGCACTTTCTTTATATATATCAGTCAGTTTTTCAAAGTTGACATTCTCACAAACTTTATCATTGTCATTGGGACTAGCTGTAAGTTACACTTTCTGATTGGTCTGTTTGACTTCCTTTGTTTCTCAGACTAACTGACAAATTAAAATCAGGAGCACGTAATCAAAGATTGAGCACTTGAGGAATGCATCTGGTTTCCTGAAATGAGGGCACTGTTTGTCCTTGACCCTGAAAAGCTGCAGGCCCTAAGGACCCAGAACCATAAAGAGTTATGGGTCCTGATCAGAATGGGTAGGTCCTATATTTTAATTTGGAAATATTACTTAGTTATTGCGGATGAAAATGCTGTCGGCCTTAAGGACCCTGCAAAAAACAAAAGCTGTGGGTCCGAGTGGTTTTCAGTTGGGCCTAAGGACCAACGTTAATTTCGAATGCTGTCCTGGAGACAATGATAATGTTCTGTAGCTGGAATATTGTTGAGGGTGCATTAAACAAACAAACAATACCAATTACTGGATGGCTGACTCAAGAAATGATTCATTAGTTACAGATCGCCAACACATACCGGTAAATGGGTTACTCCTGGGTGAGGCATTAAACAACAAAGAAAACATACACTAAATTAAAGTAAAATAATTTTTATAGTGGATGTTTAAAGTTTTCATTATTGAATTTCAACCTCACCGTTCCTACAAAACATCTTTGTCAAATATATTTATTGTCCAGTGAATAAGATCTACTTGAAATCACTTTACATCTTATTTACATGATTTATGAAAGATTAAAGTGCCTGACCTTAACAATTGATAATAAGCAACAAAATTTTGCAAATGTTTTCCATCAGATACATTTGTATTGAATTAAAAAAATCCAGAAAAGCGGTTCTGAGTTGGGTATGAACTGACTAAAATGTGACATCATGGTTTACACAACAATTTTGTTAAAAAACATATAAATGCACTAGAAAACATCTTGTATCACATTTGTAATTTTCATGAAATGTCATAATTTTTTACTGCCTAAAAGCATGGATGATATCAGAGATATGATTCCCACCATAAGTCATAAAAAGAATGAACTACCATTAAGACAGGCATGTGAAACATACTAAACAAAGTGTAATCTATCAGAGACAACTCCTCGAGATATTTAAACTAAATCTGAGATTACCAGGGGATTTGGCCAGACATTTGAGTTCCTGTGCATCTGGTAAATGTTGATGTCAACTATGACTCCTTTGGGAACCTCGACACCATCGATGACCAGTGGCTGGCTGAGTTGTCTACTGACCACTGGCACGGGGGGAAATATCCTCATGCACTCACGGATAAAAATGGGTAAATACTTCAGCTTGGCCAGATCGTCCCTGAAACACAGGTACACAGGTGTGATAAACATGGGTAAATACTTCAGCTTGGCCAGATGGTCCCTGAAACACAGGTACATGGGTGTGATAAACATGGGTAAATACTTCAGCTTGGCCAGATTGTCCCTGAAACACAGGTACATGGGTGTGATAAACACAGGTACACATGTAAAATATGGGTTCTTCAGCTTGGCCAGATTGTCCCTGAAACACAGGTACACGGGTGTGATAAACATGGGTAAATACTTCAGCTTGGCCAGATTGTCCCTGAAACACAGGTACATGGGTGTGATAAACATGGGTAAATACTTCAGCTTGGCCAGATTGTCCCTGAAACACAGGTACACAGGTGTGATAAACATGGGTAAATACTTCAGCTTAGCCAGATTGTCCCTGAAACACAGGTACATAGGTGTGATAAATATGGGTAAATGCTTCGAAACTTGGCCAGATTGTCCCTGAAACACAGGTACACATAAATATGGGTGCTTGATAAACATGGGATAAACATGGGTAAATACTTCAGCTTGGCCAGATTGTCCCTGAAACACAGGTACATGCGTGTGATAAACATGGGTAAATACTTTAGCTTGGCCAGATCATGTAAGTGCGAGGGTGTGTTCATTGTCAATGTAAGTGTGGGAGAGTGTTTTCCCAACCACCACCTCCTTACCACTCCACTTCATTCTTGTCCCCGACTGCCTGTTGGACGTCTTGGAGGACCTTCTCCTGCTCGGCAGGGTACTTGGCCAGAGCGTACAGACACCAGCTGATGGCGGATGAGGTAGTGTCATGACCTGAAAACATGTGTCTCATTACAGACAGCCACAGAAGTGATGGATACAATTTTGTGTAATACGAAATTTAATCTCAACTATTTTTGAGCACGAGATGACACTGTATAAAACTATACTACACTGTACTATGGCATGGCATGGCGTAGCATGGCATGTAGCAAGAGCAGAGCAGAGCAGTACTATATGGCATAGCATGGCAGAGCAGAGCAGAGCAGAGCAGAGCATCCACACCACACATGCCACCACCCGACCCCACACCATGCCACATGCCATGGCACCACCTGCCACCACCCCACCCCACACCATGCCACATGCCATCGCACCACATGCCACCACCACCCACCTGCACCACCCCACCTCATGCCACCACCACCCACCCTGCACTGCCTGCACCACCCCACATGCCACCACACCATGCACTGCACCACCCACATACCCTGCACACCCCAGCCATGCACTGCAATCACCCCCACCCAACCATGCACTGCACCACCCATGCCGCCACCACCCCACACCACCCTGCACTGCACCACCCCACGTGCCACCGCCCCAACCATGCACTGCACCCCCGCCCGCCCCTGCACCACCCACATTGCCACCACACCCAAGCCATGCGTTGCGCCACCCACGTGCCACCACGCCCAACCATGCACTGCACCACCCCACATGCCACCCCACCTTGCACTGCACCGCCACATGCCACCACACCCCACCCTGCACTGCACCACCCCTGCATGCCACCGCACCCTGCCCTGCACTGCACCGCCCTGCCATGCGCCACACACCTGCACCACCCATGCACCACCCGGCCACGCCGCCACCACACCCAGCCATGCGCTGCACCACCCCACATGCCACCACACCCAGCCATGCACCACGTGCCACCGCCACCATGCCACCACACCCCACCCTGCCCGCCACTGCACCCTTACATGCCACCACACCCAACCATGCACTGCGCCATCCCATGCCACCACGCCCAGCCATTGCTGCACCACCCCATGCCACCACACCCCACCTGCACTGCACCACCCCACATGCCACCACACCCCACCATGCACTGCACCACCCCACATGCCACCACACCCAACCATGCACTGCACCACCCCACATGCCACCACACCCTGCACTGCACTGCACCACCCACCTGCCACCACACCCAGCCATGCACTGCACCACCTTGTGCCACCACACCCACCAGTGCCACCACACACCCCACCGT